TCAAACACATTCCAACAAAGCTTTCTGAATCAAATGAAAGTCAAATGCATTCAATAAAGCTAATTTAATCAAATGAAAGTCAAATGCATTCTACAAAGCTAATTGAATCAAATGAAAGTCAAACACATTCAAACAAATCTTCTTGAATCAAATGAAAGTCAAATGCATTCAATAAAGCTAACTGAATCAAATGAAAGTCAAACACAATTAAACAAAGCTAATTAAATCAAATGAAAGTCAAACACATTTTATATAAGCTAATTGAATCAAAGGAATGTCAAACACATTCAAACAAAGCTTTTTGAATAAAATGAAAGTCAAATGCATTCATCAAAGCTAATCGATTCGAATGAAAGTCAAACACATTCAAATAAAACTTTTTCAACCAAATTAAAGTCAAATGCATTCTACAAAGCTAAACGAATCAAATCAAAGTCAAACACATTCAGACAAAGCTAATTAAATCAAATGAAAGTCAAACACATTCAAACAAAGCTTTCTGAATCAAATGAAAGTCAAATACATTTAATAAATCTAATTAAATCAAATGAAAGTCAAATGCATTGTACAAAGCTAATTGAATAAATTGAAAGTCAAACACATTCAAACAAAGCTAATTAAATAAAAAGAATGTCAAACACATTCAAACAAAGCTTGTTGAATCAAATAAAAGTCAAACACATTCAAACAAAGTGAATTAAATCAAATGAAAGTCAAACACATTCAAACAAAGTGAATTAAATCAAATGAAAGTCAAACACATTCAAACAAAGCTTTCTGAATCAAACGAAAGTCAAGTACATTTAACAAAGCTAATTAAATCAAATGAAAGTCAAATGCATTGTAAAAAGCTAATTGAATCAAATGAAATTCAAACACATTCAAAAAAAATTTTTTGAATCAAATTAAAGTCTAATGCATTCAACAAAGCTAATTGAATCAAATGAGAGGCAAACACATTCTAACAAACCTAATTGAATCCAATGAAAGTCAAACACATTCAAACAAACCTAATTGAATCAAATGAAAGTCAAACACATTCAAAACAAACCTAATTGAATCGAATGAAAGTCAAACACATTCAAACAAACTTAATTAAATCAAATGGAAGTCAAACACATTCAAACAGAGCTTTTTTGAATCAAATGAAAGTCAAATGCATTCTATAAAGCTAATTGAATCAAATGAAAGTCAAACACATTCAAATAAAGCTTTCTGAATCAAATGAAAGTCAATTGCGTTCAACAAAGCTAATTAAATAAAATGAAAGTCAAATGCGTTCTACAAAGTTAAACGAATCAAATGAAAGTCAAACACATTCAAACAAACCTAATTGAATCAAATGAAAGTCAAACACATTCAAACAAAGCTTTTTGAATCAAATAAAAGTCAAACACTTTCAAACTAAGCTAATTAAATCAAAAGAAAGTCATACACATTCATACAAAGCTTTCTGAATCAAATGAAAGTCAAATGTATTCAACAAAGCTAATTTAATCAAATGAAAAGTCAAATGCATTCTACAAAGCTAATTGAATCAAATGAAAGTCAAACACGTTCAAGCAAAGCTAATTGAATCAAATGAAAGTCAAACACATTCAAACAAAGCTTTTTGAATCAAATAAAAGTCAAACACATTCAAACAAAGCTAATTAAATCAAATGAAAGTTAAACACATTCCAACAAAGCTTTCTGAATCAAATGAAAGTCAAATGCATTCAACAAAGCTAATTTAATCAAAAGAAAGTCAAATGCTTTCTACAAAGCTAATTCAATCAAATGAAACTCAAACACATTCAAGAAAAGCTAATTGAATCAAATGAAAGTCAAACACATTCAAACAAATCTTCTTGAATCAAATGAAAGTCAAATGCATTCAATAAAGCTAACTGAATCAAATGAAAGTCAAACATAATTAAACAAAGCTAATTAAATCAAATGAAAGTCAAACACATTCTATATAAGCTAATTGAATCAAAGGAAAGTCAAACACATTTAAACAGAGCTTTTAGAATAAAATGAAAGTCAAATGCATTCATCAAAGCTAAATGATTCGAATGAAAGTCAAACACATTCAAATAAAGCTTTTTCAATCAAATTAAAGTCAAATGCATTCTACAAAGCTAAACGAATCAAATCAAAGTCAAACACATTCAAACAAAGCTAATTAAATCAAATGAAAGTCAAACACATTCAAACAAAGCTTTCTGAATCAAATGAAAGTCAAATACATTTAATAAATCTAATTAAATCAAATGAAAGTCAAATGTATTGTACAAAGCTAATTGAATCAAATCAAAGTCAAACACATTCAAACAAAGCTAATTAAATAAAAAGAAAGTCAAACACATTCAAATAAAGCTTTTTGAATCAAATAAAAGTCAAAACACTTTCAAACTAAGCTAATTAAATCAAATGAAAGTCAAACACATTCATACAAAGCTTTCTGAATCAAATGAAAGTCAAATGTATTCAACAAAGCTAATTTAATCAAATGAAAGTCAAATGCATTCTACAAAGCTAATTGAATCAAATGAAAGTCAAACACGTTCAAGCAAAGCTAATTGAATCAAATGAATGTCAAATACATTCAAACACATCTTCTTGAATCAAATGAAAGTCAAATACATTCAATAAAGCTAATTGAATCAAATGAAAGTCAAACACATTCAAACAGAGCTTTTTTAATCAAATGAAAGTCAAATGCATTTATCAAAGCTAATTGAATCGAATGAAAGTCAAACACATTCAAACAAACCTAATTGAATCCAATGAACGTGAAACACATTTAAAAAAACCTAATTGAATCAAATGAATGTCAAACACAATCAAACAAAGCTTTTTGAATCAAATGAAAATCAAATGCGTTCATCAAAGCTAATTGAATCGAATGAAAGTCAAACACATTCAAACAAACCAAATTGAATTCAATAAAAGTCAAACACATTCAAACAAACCTAATTAAATTAAATGAAAGACAAAATCATTCAAATAGAGCTTTTTGAATAAAATGAAAGTCAAATGCATTCTATAAAGCTAATTGAATCAAATGAAAGTCAACACATTCAAACTAACCTAATTGAATCTAATGAAAGACAAACACATTCAAACAAACCTAATTTAATCAAATGAAAGTCAAACAAATTCAAACAGAGCGTTAACAATGCTAATTAAATCAAATGAAAGTCAAATGCATTCTACAAAGCTAAACGAATCAAATGAAAGTCAAACACATTCAATGAAAGCTAATTGAATCAAATGAAATTCAAACACATTCAAACAAAGCTTTTTGAATCAAATAAAAGTCAAACACATTCAAACAAAACTAATTAAATCAAATGAAAGTCAAACTGATAAGCCTTCTTATCATGGGTTGAGAGAAGCATTTTAGGGTGTGTTTTGATGCTTTATATGTACTTTTGTTAGCTTTTGTGAGTTTTGGGCTGTGATCTCACTTATGTGCAAAAGGCGGGATTTATGAGTATAAGTGAGTGAGTGAGCTCGGGAACCAATGAAGAGTTATGTAAGAAGGATGGACCTTGGCACGTGATTTGAGAGTTGTGATGGAGCATGGAAGAGCAAGGAAGAAAGCTTGAGGAAAAGGTGAAGCAAAGCAAGAAGAAGAAGCAAGGAAAGAAGGCGAAAACAGCAGGAACCGCTGCCAGGGCCGCTGGCAGCTGGCCAGAAGCCGCTGGCAGCGGGTATACCAGAGTGAGGGGCTGCCAGAGCAGCTGCCAGCGGGTCCAGAGCAGCTGGCAGCGGCTCTGGCAGAAATTCGGGCTGTTTTGGTTAATTTTCAGCAATTTGGCTTTGTTTTGGCTCGTGTTTTGGATATTATTTTATTATTATTATTGTGTTATGTTATTAAAATATAGAAACATATAAATAGCTTAGTTTTAATTAAGTTTTAAGAGAGAAAAGGAGAATTAAGTTTTGAGAAAAAAAAAAGCTTTCTAGGGTTTTCTTGGAATTTTCAGAATTCTTTGTTTTGGAATTAGAATCCATGGAAGCTTAATCTTCCGGATTCTTGGTTAAAGATTGAAGCTTTTAGCTACGAATTGTGAGATCTTTCTTCTCTTAATATCTATTGAATATATATTGTTCCTTGAATTAATTTCATGATTTGCTTTAATCAATTGCTAGGTTAGAATTATTGGATTCGCTTGCATCTAATTAATCTTTCCAAAGTAGCAACTTTAGGTTATTGATGCATGCTTTTGGTTGATAACTTGAAGAGGGAATAATATTATTGAAGAAATTAGACCGCTTGTGTTAATTTATTCAATCCTTGTTGATTTCTCCGTTTATTTTCTTCTTGTGGATAATTTAGAGCGCTTGTATTGAATTGTGCATTGGAAAGGGTTAGAAAGGAGCGCTTTGCTATTTCTAACTATTTATGAGAATTTAGAATCTAGGAATTCTACAACAAGGTGTTCAATAGAGCTTGATTGAGGAGACTTCTATGATCAATTTGTATGTTCATTAGTGGATTTCGCATAACCAAGACCGTTCTTCTCATTGATTACCTATTCATTACGTTCGTTGTTCTTACTTAGTTCATTTATCATCATTGCTCGTGAAAACCCCCCTCGTTACTTAGGTTACTACCGTCCTAGAGTATTTCCACTTAGGTTTCCAGTTATTAGTCCCTTTTTCCCTGTGGATTCGAACTCGACTTCCCTAACTACGTTTATTTGCAGTTAGCTTAGTTGTGATATTTTTGGTTGCATACGACTGAGGCACACCAAATTTTGGCGCCGTTGCCGGGGAACTAGGCGTTACCGTTTAATTGTTTATCTTAGTAGAATTTATTTTAGGATTGTTCTTAGCTATTTTTTCTTTGTTTTGTTCGCTAGGGTATGATAAGTACCCGTTCTGCTAACAAAGAAGTTTTGCAGTTTGATCCAGAAATTGAAAGAAATATTTCCAGGTTGCGAAGAGAGGCAAGAACAAACCCCAGTGAATCAACATACATCTTCAACATTCAAGAAGAGGAAGTGATGGCAGAAAATCGAACACTGAGAGAGCTAACAGCTCCTAACTTGAACCAACAGCCGTTGTGCATCGCATATCAGCAGTTGGAGGAAGGTGCTAATGTTGAGATCAAATCTGGTCTAATTCATCTATTGCCGGCATTCCATGGCATGAAGGGTGAAGATCCAAATAAACATCTGGCAGAATTTCATGTGGTATGTACTAGCATGAAACCGATTGGGATGACTGATGAGCAAATTCAGTTGAGAGCATTTCCTTTTTCTCTCAAAGATGCAGCGAAGGATTGGTTTTACTATCTTCCCCCAGGGAGCATAACAAATTGGGCAGGTTTGAAGAAGTGTTTCTTAGAGAAGTATTACCCAGCCACTATTTCTGCAAGCCTTAAGAAAGCTATCAGCAATGTGGATCAGAAGGAAGATGAGTCCTTGTATGAGTATTGGGAGAGATTCAAGAGATTGTGTGCTAGTTGTCCGTACCATGGGTATTCCGATCAAGACCTCATCCTATACTTCTATGGAGGTCTAACAGATGATGATTTGAGGATGGTGAATGCAGCAAGTGGTGGAGGGCTAGTGAATAAGACTCCAGGAGATGCAACTAGGCTGATTGCAGAGCTAGCAGAGAATTCTAGGCAGTTCAGTCAGAGAACTCCACGCGCCGGGTGAATGCAGCAAATTCAAATACAACTGAGTTAGAGAGTCAAGTAGCTGATTTGACTTCTATGATGCGTGAGTTCATGGTGAACTCAAGGAATCCACAGCAACTGAATGCTTGTGGTTTATGCACCTCCACAGGACATCCCACTGATGCATGTCCTCAATTACAAGAGGAACAGAATGAGCAGGCCAATGCAATGGGTTTCCAAGGGCAAGGTCCTCAGAGAAGATATGATCCATATTCGAATACATACAATCCAGGATGGAGGGATCATCCAAATTTGAGATATGGGAATTCCCAGGGGAACCAACAACAACAGCAAAATGCTCAAGGCCAGCAGCAATATCAGCAATATAGGGCACCATTGGCCAAACCTCAAGGCCAAAGCTCAAATTCGAATGATATGTCAACTGATGAAATGATTAGATCACTAACTTCTAATGTTTCTACTATGCAGCAAAACATGGTGCAATTCCAGCAAGAGACCAAATCCAGTATTCAGAATTTGGAAAGTCAAGTGAGTCAAATTTCAACTGCAGTGAGCAGACTTGAAGCTAAGGATTCGGGAAAACTTCCATCTCAAACGGAGTTGAATCCTAAGCAACAAGCCAACGCTATTACATTGAGAAATGGCAAGGAGCTGAAAGAGACTGAAATTGCAACTAAGAGGGCTGAAGAGTTGATTGGAGCTGAGGAGAAGGAAGTGGAACATGAAGCTGTAGCAAATCCTCCCACTTTTCCATCTTATGAACCCACACCACCTTTTCCTGAAGCTTTGAAAGAAACGAAGAGGTATGAGAAGGACAAGATATCTATGAAACATTCAGCAAGTGTGAGGTAAACATTCCCCTTTTGAATTTAATAAAGAGTGTTCCTCGATTCGCTAAATTTTTGAAAGAACTTTGTACTATTAAGAGGAAGCACAGGTTAGGAGGGAAGGAAAAAGTGAAAGTCAGTGCTCATGTTTCTGCAGTTTTCCAAAAGAAACTTCCTGAAAAATGTAGTGACCCTGGTATGTTTACTGTTCCAGTTACAATAGGGGACACCACTTTTCGTAGAGCAATGTTGGATTTGGGTGCATCAATTAATGTTATTCCATATTCACTGTTCAAATCTTTGGAACTTGGACCCTTACATGACACCGGGGTAGTGATTCAATTAGCTGATAGATCAAATGTTTATCCTAAGGGAGTAGTGGAAGATGTGCTTGTGAAAGTTGATGAACTAATTTTTCCTGCTGATTTTTATGTGCTTGATATGGAACATGATAGACAAGCAGTACCCATCTTGTTAGGAAGACCTTTCTTGAAAACTGCTAGGACTAAAATTGATGTTTTTACTGGTTCTTTGACTATGGAGTTTGATGGACAAGAAATTGTGTATAACATCTATGATTCCATGAAATACCCTGTTGACACTCATTCTTTGTGTTCCATTGATATCATTGATCCTATAGTGCAGGATGTCTTCAATGTTGAGGGCGAGGATGCGCTCCTCACTTCCATTTCTAATGATTTATCTGCTGATTGTTTGGATATTCCTTTGCCTAATAGTGTGCAGATGATGGTAGCAGAGTTGAATGGTCATTCCAAGCTTCCACTTAGACCACCAGGTTCGACACCTACCCCACTGACAGTGCCTACTGATAAACTCTTACCTTCTGTTTTGCAGGCACCCCAGGTGGAGCTAAAACCACTTCCTGATCATTTGAAATATGTGTTCCTTGGTCAGAACGATACTTTTACCTGTTATAATTTCAAGCAAATTGACCAAGGAGCAAGAGGACAAGTTGGTGACAGTGCTGAAAGAGCACAAGTTAGCTATTGGATGGACCATTGCAGACATTAAGGGAATAAGTCCATCCACTTGCATGCATCGTATTCTGTTAGAAGATGATGCCAAACCTGTGAGGCAACCTCAGCGTCGCCTAAATCCTCCCATGATGGACGTGGTAAAGAAGGAGATCATAAAATTATTGCAAATAGGAATGATATTTCCTATATCTGATAGTAAATGGGTCAGTCCTACGCAGGTGGTTCCTAAGAAAAGTGGTGTGACTGTGGTAGAAAATCAACAGGGTGAAATGGTTCCTACTAGAGTTCAAAATGGTTGGCGAGTTTGCATTGATTATCGTAGGTTGAATGCAGTAACTAGGAAAGACCATTTCCCTTTACCTTTTATTGACCAAATGATTGAAAGACTTGCAGGGAAATCCTATTACTGTTTCCTTGATGGGTATTCTGGGTACTTTCAAGTGCCCATTGCACCTGAAGATCAGGAAAAGACAACTTTTACATGTCCTTTTGGCACATTTGCTTATCGCCGTATGCCTTTTGGCCTATGTAATGCACCTGCAACCTTTCAGAGATGCATGATGAGCATCTTTTCTGAGTTTGTTGAGCATTTCATGGAGGTATTTATGGATGATTTCACTGTGTATGGTGATTCTTTTGATAAATGCTTGCATCACTTATCTATGGTCCTCAAAAGATGTATTGACTCTAACCTTGTCTTGAATTCTGAGAAATGTCATTTTATGGTCCAACAGGGCATTGTGTTAGGTCATGTAGTTTCTTCTAGAGGTATTGAGGTTGATAAGGCTAAGATTGACACTATTCAGTCTCTCCCTTATCCTACTAATGTGCGTGAAGTGCGTTCTTTTCTTGGCCATGCAGGTTTCTATCGTAGGTTCATTGAGGGATTCTCAAAGCTTGCAAATGCTATGTGCAAATTGCTGCAGAAAGATGTGAAATTCCACTTTGATGATGATTGCAAGAAGGCTTTCGACGAATTGAAGGCTAAGCTCATTTCTGCCCCTATCATTCAAGCCCCAGATTGGTCTCGACCATTTGAGATAATGTGTGATGCGAGTGATTATGCAGTTGGAGCTGTTTTAGGCCAGAAAGTAGGGAGGGCATCTCATGTGATCTATTATGCCTCAATGACCCTCAATTCAACCCAACGAAACTACACTACCACAGAAAAAGAGTTGTTAGCTGTAGTATTTGCTCTAGAAAAGTTTCGATCTTATTTGCTTGGTACTAAAGTAATTGTTTTCACTGATCATGCAGCTCTTCGCCACTTGATGACGAAGAAAGAGGCCAAACCAAGACTAATAAGATGGATTCTGCTCTTATGTGAGTTTGAGTTAGAAATCAAGGACAAGATAGGCGCGGAAAATCTAGTTGCTGATCATTTGAGTCGTTTGACCCATATTGTTGATCAACCATCATTCCAATATCAAATCCTAGGAGAATTTCCGGATGAATCTCTATTTGCTCTTAAGGATTTGCGCCCTTGGTTTGCTAACATTGTGAATTTTCTGGTTTCTCAACAGTTTCCTCCAGGTTTCACAAAGTCTCAAAAGGACAAGCTTCGAACTGATGCGAAGTACTATGCATGGGATGATCCATACTTGTGGAAGTTCTGCTCCGATCAAATCATTCGCAGATGCATTCCCGAAAATGAGGTGATCCCCATTCTCACCTTCTGTCATTCTCATGCTTGTGGAGGACACTTTGGAGCCAAACGCACAGCAAGGAAGGTTCTCGACTGTGGTTTTTACTGGCCAAGTTTGTTTCGAGATTCCTATGGATTTTGTAAATCCTGTGATAATTGCCAGAGAGTAGGTAACATTTCCCAGAAATGTGAAATGCCCCAATCCTCTCTTCTATATTGTGAAATATTCGATGTTTGGGGTATAGATTTCATGGGACCATTCCCTATTTCTTACGGTTTTACTTATATACTTCTTGCTTGTGATTATGTGTCGAAGTGGGTGGAAGCAATACCCACTAGGACTGATGACTCTAAAGTGGTTTCAGGTTTTATCAAAGCTTACATATTTTCTAGGTTTGGAATCCCAAGGGCGTTGATAAGTGACCGTGGAACACACTTTTGCAACCGTACAGTGAGTGCTTTGTTGAGGAAGTACTCTGTTCACCACAAAATCTCCACGGCTTATCACCCACAAACCAATGGGCAAGCCGAGGTGTCCAATAGAGAGGTGAAGTCAATTCTTCAGAAAACGGTGAATCCGGATAGGAAGGATTGGAGTTTGAGGTTGGAGGATGCTCTATGGGCGTACCGCACCGCATACAAAACACCTATCGGGATGTCCCCTTACCGCCTTGTCTTCGGAAAACCGTGCCATCTACCGGTTGAGCTTGAGCATAAAGCATATTGGGCGGTTAAGTCATTCAACATGCAAATGGATGAAGCAGGTGAACATCGGAAATTGCAACTCCAAGAACTAGAGGAGATCCGGCTTGAGTCCTATGAGAATGCAGATATTTATAAAGCAAAGACCAAGCTATGGCATGATCGAATGATCACGCGGAAGGAGTTTTAAAGTCGGTGACAAAGTACTCCTATATCAATCCCGACTTAGATTATTTCCGGGAAAACTTCGGTCCCGTTGGGAGGGCCCTTTTCAAGTGGCGAATGTATATCCGCATGGAGCAGTTGAAATTCAAAGCCTCGAGACCGATAAGATTTTCAAAGTCAATGGCCAAAGGCTCAAACCCTACTTCGAGGGTTTCAAAACCGAGAACGTGGAGTGCATCGATCTCTACGAGCCATCAATGGAGTAGCGAAGTGGGATGAGCCGCGTCGAGCCAACGACGTAAAACAAAGGCGCTAATCGGGAGGCAACCCGATCGAAAACTCTTCCCATTACTTTTCGTAGTTTAGTTTTTATTTTTTTTCGTGTGATGTGAAGAGTGTTTTTTTTTTGTTTTTGTGTAGGTGGAGGCCTTGGGAGCAATTTTTATGCGCGAAACGCAGCAAAAACAGAGCAAAACAGAAACAAAGGGGCCTTCCCTGCAGAAGCCGCTGGCAGCTGCTCTGCAGCCGCTACCAGCGGTCTTCTTGCAGCCCAAACCCCTTTGTTTCTGTCCCAGCCGCTGGTAGCTGCTCCTGAGCCGCTGCCAGCGGGCCCCCCTCTAAGTTTTGTTAATTTCAAAAAAAAAAAAAAAAAAAAAAAAAAATCAAATCACCAAAATCTGCCAGAGCCGCTGGCAGCGGGCCTCAAGCCGCTACCAGCGGCTCCTACAACTCTCCCCGATTTTTTTTTCCCCTTATTTCCCCTTTTCCAAACTCCAACTTCATTATCCCCCAATTCACATAAACCCTTACTCCTTTTCTTCTCCTTCTCTCTACTCATTTCATTCCCCTACTCCAATTATACCAAATTCCTACCAATTTCTCTTTCCCAAATCTTCATCTTTCATCAAATTCTCAATTCCCATCACAATTTCACCTAAGATTTACCATTTTTTCTTGATTTCAATTGTGAAATTGAGTTGGTTGTGTGGAATTTGCAAGCTTAATTTATTTTCATTGAAGGTGAAGGTGAAGGTGCAAGTGAACATATTCCTTTTTATAGCCATGGGTAGAGACAACAAGAGGTCTAAAGAATCATCTCCATCAAGACCCTCAAGGGCAAGAGGCAAGGGGCTTCTTCAAGTCAAGGGGAGGCACCTCCATTGCCTCAAGGGGATGGTTTCATGGGTGTTTCGGTTGCATTCCAAGGAGAAGGGCGTATGGACTAAGCTTCAACAACCCGACGAACGGTGCAATGCACCAAGTTCTTTGACTTAGAAGCTCTACAAGAGCTAGAGATGGAGGAAGGAGTGCGGCTCTTGCTAAGGAACGTGGGTCTCGAGAATTTCATGACCAAATGCGCTCCCACCTATGTCAGGTATACATATGAATTCCTTTCAACGCTTACTAAAGGACGTGAACAAATATCCTTTAATTTGAACAATAGGAATTATGTGATGTCTTATGATGATTTGCGTATGGCATTTGGTTGGGATGCACCCCCATTGGTGAACCGTTGGGGTGATTATAGCACGTACTCGTCCGAACATTTTGGAGGGCTATAACTGGTTGTGAAGTTGACCCTCATGGTGATCATAGCTTCAAAATCACCCACCCATGCCTTAGACTGGTGCATAGGTTTATATCGTCCACTATTCTGTGCCAAGGGGAGGCCACTAAGGTCCCCAAAGTCACATTGTCGTATTTGTGGGCGATGACCCCTGAAGGTGTCGGTACGCCCAATTGGGTGGAGATTTTTGTTGATAGTTGTGTAAAGGTGAAGTCCAACTCCAGTGGCCATATTAGTATGGGTGGCATGGTCTCTTTGCTAGCCTGTTATTTGAATGTTCCACCCCCTGAGGATCTTGTGCCAGTAGACTCGACATACTTGACATATAACATCATGACTCTGGTCAAGATCGGTTTATTATCGCGTTCCCCGTCGCCGGTAGTTATTTCTGGCGATACGGACCGCAGGGTTTGAACTATTTGAGACTTCCTCGTCCCGAGGGACGAGCATTACCTTTTGGCCCTACTGCTGCAGACTTTTTCCTTCCGCCCGACCCGGATGTTGCTCCTTATTTGGGAGATGCTGAAATCATAGTTGAGAACATGGGAGAGGAGAATCCCGATGTTCATATGGGCGGAGAGTTTGTTGATGAGGAAGGGGGTGAGGATGCTGCTGGAGTGCAGCACGATGATTGGCCTCGATGGAGGGCTGATGTGGATGATAGACTAGAGGAGGTGTGCGATGGGATGCACGAGCTGCTTGCATATCAAAGAAGCATGAGTCGGTTTTTTACACCACTCAGTATCCGCAGTATGAGCCTCCAACTGAGGCGTTCATGGATCATTTGGCATCCCGTGCTTTGCGTCGTTC